GGTTCCCATGATGAACGTTTACGGAACCCAACATCAGTTATTGTGGTTTCCCCTTGGGTAATCCAACGGAACCGAAAAACGGTTACCATGAATTTCCGAAATCCTCAGGCCTGCTCCTGAATTATTTAAATTTTTGCAGCATTTGTTGATAATTGTATGCATATGTTGTTGTTTGTGCTATTATCATATGCAATTGAATAAGTAGACCATTTTGGAATTCGAAATTTGGGACTCTCTCAATGCAGAATGGGACTCATACTTTTCTGATCAGTGAGTCCCTGGGACTCGCTGCCGGTAAACTGTAAAATTATCACTGAGAGATTACCGCTTTTTCTGCAGTCAGTGATTGACTTCTATGCAAAGTCATTTCTCAACTTGTGTTCCGTGCCACTTCATGCCTGTTGAGTGTTGATTTACTTCATATTAAGAAACTACTGCACTAAAACATTAATTCATAAATGTATGTCATATGATTTTATTTCTTTTTCTCAGTCTAAAAATAACACGTACCCTGACTGTTCTACTCTTTGAATAAAAACACTTCATTCAAGCATTAGGAAGTGCAAAGGGTTATGATGGAGGGGTGTTGCAAATCATGAGGACCTGCCAAGTGGTATGATAGCATTGTTTAATACATGTCCTTGACTAGGCCTCAGTTGATTAACACATGGTATCATTTCACATGTTATTTTCACATGAAACCGCAAGAAGGTGCTCTGGGCCTGTGTTGATACATTCCACATTGGCAGAAACTGATAAAAACAACTGACAATGACTTTGACGTAAGCGATGTAGAAGAGGAAGCGCGGTATCTTCTACCTCTAGAGTTGCAAAGTTGTGACACAGAGAATAAAGATTTCATTGGATTTAGCGATTTGGAGTTTTGGAGCTAAAGTTATTAGCATGTTCTTTATGCTCTAGTTCTCTTAATCACTCTTAATATGTTATGGGAACAGGGTAGGCACGTTCTCAGTTCGTTGTTGATACATCATGTCATGTTAGCATATTGACAGCGTGTTGTTCTCTATTTTATTTTTAGTTTAAATTGCCTTTCATGATGACATGTATGTTCCTGGTGTTGGATTTTATCAAATAAATTTCCCCCAAAAGTGCAACTTATACACCAGTGTGATTTATACAGGTTTTTTTTCTTCTTTATTATGCATTTTATGGCTGATTCGATTAATACTCCAGAGCGATTTATAATTTGGGAAAATACGGTAAAAAACGCTAGGCTAACATTGTTGCTCGCAAGCAACAGTGTAAAGCCATATCTCACTGAGTGGGTGTTGGAATAAATCAAATTCTGTTATCCCATATTTACTCTCTGTGTAACTTTAAAACCTGTTTCAGAGTGAAACCTCACAAATACCTCATATACAATGAGGTAGGTTGATAATGAGAGACTTGTCGGACCGGGAGAGCTCAGGCTGCTCCTCCTGTTCTAGCTTTTAATATATCTTGTTGTTAACGGCTTCTGACCAAATTAACTGTTGCTTGTGAGAAGATAACATCAGCCCAGGACACCACGAGAGGGACATCCCAAGCTCTGTTCGTGGACCATCGACATCCAGTAGGAGCCGTTTGACGACATCTCAGGAATGAACTGTGTGTTCTCATTGAAACTCTCCTTTACTGAAACTGTAGTGGAATGTGAAAATACTCCCCACACCCGTTAGAAGATTGTGTATCAGGGAAATCCTTCCAATAAATGCAAGGAGACAAACGCGGTCTCTTCAGAGTTGACCCGGAACCTGTAACGGTTTACATGGCAGAGCCAGCTGGAGAGCTGCTCCGAGATTATGAACCGAGACATGTTTTAGCACACTCTCTCTTGCAAGAAAGACAACCATGCCTGCCTCCTGAGTCTTCCTGTTCCTGATGTGTTCTTAGCGTCAGATAACCAGCAATAACCTAACATTGGCCAAGGTCAACACCGCTCACCCTTTGATGGCGACAAGTAAAACTGTTGGCAAGTATCTGGGGAAACGTCTTTGCAACCTCAAATGAACCCAGACGAAAACCCCCACCCCAACATTCATTACATGCGCACACGCTCACAGAATAAACCTCAGTCAGATACAGTATGTAATGTTTAATCAGGGGTAAAAAACAAAACAAAACATTGACACAGGACAGCGTTGTAGCCGTGTCGCCTGTAGATTTAACTTCAGAATTCATTCTTAATGTTAAATTCACATCACGATGAATTGGGTTGAACTCAGTTTAAATTCAGTTTCACTGAGTTATTACTAAACTGAGATTTTAAATGGTACAACAGAGCTCTTTTTTATTTTAAAACACCATTAACTCATTTTAAACTTTGACTAATCTTTGATTAAAGACAATCTTTAATTTAATTAAACCCTTGTTGGTGCAACCAAGCCTTACAAGTTTTATTTACTTTTTTACAATCATTCCTTAACAGCCAAAGATTTACAGATCGATAAAACGTGTGATCAATATTTTTCTTTCATAGTACAACTGGTATATCCTTCTAAATGTTCTCCAATCTATGTGAAGTAACTGGTATACTGCAAAATACATTTTTGAAATTTTTATTTTTCAGCTTTGATGTGTCTTCTACAGTGGACATCGAAACCCAATACAGGGGAAACGGAACTTCATTGTGAAACAGTTAGTCCAAAAAAATATCAAAAAGTCAACTTGACAAAGTGTTCAACATAAACATAACTTTCCATCATCTCTTTTCTTTTGTTTCACGTTTGCTTCTATTATGCTTATTTGGTATGATACTTCAAAAAGCAATTCCCTTTCTTTGAAACACAAAGTAAAAGCTTATCGACTATTATCTTGCAGTCCTTTGGAACCCTGTTATTCATGAGGGTTCCAGTCGCTGTCAGTCCTTTTGTCATCAGGGTGTCAAGGAGGCTGATTGTTGTAAAGTACCTGTCAAAGAACAGGTGGGTGCCTTGGGGAACAGACTCTGTTCACTTTTAAACAACTCCCCCAACTCGGGAGGTAGACGATGCGCCGCTTCCTCTTCCACGTCGCTTACGTCAGACATCATTGTCAGTTGCAGTTCCAATTATTCCCGCCTTTCTGAATCCCGACAGGATGGTTTCAGTTGTCACTGAAGCCCATGCTTTGTCGATCCATTCAATGACTTCCAGGAAAGTTGCATGGCGCATTCTCCCGGTTGCCGTGAAGCTGTGCTCTCCATCCATCATCCACTGCTGCCACAGGTTACGCAAGACTGCCTTAAAGCTCCTATTCACGGAGATATCAAGTGGCTGGAGTATTTTGGTTAAGCCTCCAGGGATGATGGCAGGTATGGAGTTGAAAACTTTTAATTTATTTTTGAACTGTGGTGTGATGTGCGCTCTCATGCTATCCATCACAAGCAGAGCCCTGCGTGCTCTAAAGAAGCCATCCGGTCGCTTAGTGTAGCACTTTGTAAGCCATAAGTTCAGCATTTCTTGATCCATCCACCCTTTCTCATTCACGGCGACTGCAACTGAGGAGGATTGGATTTTTGGCATGGTTTTTCATTTGAAAATGACCATTGGTGGAAATTTTGATCCATCTCCACAACATGCCAGCACCACTGTGAAGTGTGATTTCTCATGACCAGTTGTAACTATATTCACACTTTTTTGCCCTTTCTCTGCAACACTTCGGCCCATGGGAATGTCAAAGGTGAGGGGGACCTCGTCCATGTTAATAATATGATCCGGTGTCACGTTGTGCTCACTTACATGCTTTTCAATGAACTCATGGAAACTGTCGACCTTGGCTTGGAAGTCTGCTGGCAGTTTTTGGGACATTGTTGTCCTTGCTCTGATAGAGAGGTGATTGCGTTGCATGAAGCGGTAACACCAAGAAGGTCCTCCCGCAAAGTCATTTATATTCATCTCCTTGGCAACTACCTGCGCGTGGAGATGCAACTGCACTGTTGACAAACCTCTCCCAGCAGCACATTGTTCAAGCACCCATGCGCGAACTCGTTCCTCTAACTGCGGCCACCTAGCTTTCAGCCCGCGATTAGCTTTTTTTGTTTTCTTCATTTCAGTAAGAGTAACCTCCGCTTTTCGCCAGTCCCTTACAAGTTTCTCGCTAACTCCAAACTTTCTTTCTGCTGCTCGATTACCGTTTTCGGCTGCATATTTCACTATTTGCAGCTTGTAATGTGCAGAATATGATTTTCTTTTCGGTGCCATTTTTGTTCAGCCCTTCTCAGTTGTTTTTATGAATTACCGGCAATGTTGAAATTATCAACACAGGCCTAGAGCGCCCTCTTGCGGTTCAGTGTGAAAATAGCGTGAAATTATATAATAATGTGTTAATAATTTCACACATAAATCGCACCAGAGTATAAATCGCACCCCCGGCCAAACTATGAAAAAAAACTGCGATTTATAATCTGAAAAATACGGTACTGGTAGTCAGGAGGATATATTACTGAAAAATTATTTGGATAAGTTTCATGAGTTTCTATATCAAATCCATTTTTTCGGAAGCAGGACTTAGGGGTGCAGGTCGCTGGAGCAATCTAACCGTGTAACTGCAACAAACTCGCTGCTGCTTTGAGTGACCTTTTCTTTTCTCGCTTCTCCCGTGTGCGTTAGTCTTGGAGCTGACCGGACTGAAACGGCCACCCAGTTATGTCTCAACTTTTAACGTTGGAGCCCAGTCGGGATGATCAGCAGGGAAAAGTGGAGCAGGGCGACCTGTCAAAAAATAACAACAATGAAGAAGTAATACAGGGAATACAGGGGTATAGTAAATAATGATACTAGACCAGGAAAATCCAGAGCTAACAACCTCTCTCTCTCTCTCTCTCTCTCTCTGTGTCTCTCTCAAAACACAAAATTATTACTAGAATTGCATTGTGTGCCTTACAAGGCACTTTAATTGCACAAACTAACATTCATGCACAAAGAATAAATAAAATTGATTCAAATATCGAATGAGCAGTGGCATTCGAACAATGTACGTTGCACTCGCGTACAGTTTTCTTTTTTTTAAAGGCAGCAATCCCAAACGTTTTTAATGCCTTTTAGACATTTTCATGTGATGTCAAGGACCGCCCCCCCCAAAAAAA